ATGTCGGGGATCTTCGGATGGAACTGGAAAAAAAGTCGATCACAGGCGGGCGTGCGATTTATTTCCAGGGCAGCTCTGATTCACTACCTTTCCCTCTGCAGGGAAATGAAAGTCTTTGACATGTTGCATCGCTAACTTTTATGTTTAACTTCCTCATTTGTGTTAAAATATTTATTACAATAAACATATCACACATCATCTTGATAAAGGCATCATCCACATTAACAGACTTTTTGAAACCACTCAAGGACACGTTTCACACTTTACGAAATATTTTAAGGTATGATATTTAACTATATGCAAAATTTTGTAGAGCTTCGAATAAAGTGGAAAAAAGTAATTAACTACTCTGCAAATATGATGGTTTATACACACTCTTTCTCGTTTCGCAAAGCTGCTAAAACTTACAAATGTATTTCTCAGATTCAGTCAATTTTTTTTTTTTTTTTTTTTTTTTTTTTTTTTTTTTTTTTTTTTACTTCCTCATTTCTGTTAAAATATTTATTATAAAAAACATATCACGCATCAACAGACTATTTGTTAATAAAATATCTATCTTGATAAAGGCATCTTCCACATTAACAGACTATTTGAAACCACTCAAGGACACGTTTCACACTTTACGAAATATTAGGGTCTTCTTTTTCCCAAGCATGGGACGTCAGGAAATTGGGAGAGTGACGTCACAGATTGCTGATTGGCCAGCGGGTATGCTGCTGCCAAGCGCAAAAGGTGCGGGGAAACTGCCCTACACCTCAGTCTGTGCACAACATTGTGGGAATCACATCCAGAATGTGTATATACTCGACTTCTCTTTCTCCCTCGGCAATATGAATAAATATGACCACATAACATCCCCTCTGCCTCGATTTTTAAAGACAGTCAACATAATATTCACAGATAATCTAAAACTATAATTCCTTTGAGTTATATAAGTTATATACGACATATAAAACTTTTTTTTTTTTTGTCATGAAATTAATCTTTATATACACAAGGCTGAAATCAATGCAGTGTTTATGACTAGAAATGGTACAGATCTACAAGTTTTCTTTTTGTTTAAGCTTCTGAATTTTACTGATGGCTGTCGCCTGTTCATTGAAGTATTTTCTCTATTAATTAATTGTGATTCCCACAATGGAAAGGCTGGGAGGAGGGGGAAAGTCCCTCCCACCCAGCAAGTGAGGCGGACTGTGGGCCCTGCTTGGAGGGCGACTGCTGGAGCGCAGGCTGGGAACGGGAACTACTCGTCTCGCCTGCACTCTGGTGGCCGGCAGCCCAGACTGAAGCTTGTGGGGGAAAGCCCTCGGGAACCCCACAGGTGGATGATGGGGCATGCAGCCCGCCACCCCCTTTTATATGGGGCAGCGTCGGTGGGGGTGGCAGAGGTGGCATCCACCCGGAGCGACTGCCAGAGGCTGAACCTTAGGTGGGAAGTCAGGGTGGGGGCTTGGAACATCCGTTCTTTGCGTCAGGATGATCGGTTGCCTCTACTGTCGAGGGAACTTCGGAGGCTGAGAGTTGAGGTGGCTGCTCTCTCGGAGATGAGAAGGCCTGGCAGCGGCATGACCTGTGTAGGTGGCTACACCTATTACTGGTCGGACCGAAGTGACGGCCACTATCTCCAGGGAGTAGCCATTGCCATCTCCAGCAGACTCCAGCCCTCGGTAGTAGAGGTTACTCCTGTTGATGAGCGTATAATGGTATCTTTTGGCTTCATGTCTCTTATTGCTGTGTACGCTCCTACCGATGTTTGTAAACTTGACGTGAAAGAGATGTTCTACGCCAAACTTACATCTGTGGTAGACAGATGTCCCCGAGATATTCGCATTGTTCTGGGCGACTTCAATGCGGTATCTGGCTGTGATCGAGCTGGCTATGAGATGTCTGTCGGTCCCCATGGTTCAGGAGCTGATGCCGGTAGCGAGAATAGCCTCCTTTTCCGGGACTTTGCTAGGTCCCAGAAATTGAGGATTTCTGGCTCCTGGTACCAGCGCCCAGACCCACATCGCTGGACATGGTACAGTGATGCAGGTAACGCAGCCAAGGAGATCGACCACATACTCGTTAGCACTCGTTGGAGGATCCTTCAGAATTGCAGGGTGTACAGGAGTGCTGAGTTCTGTGGTACTGACCATAGATTGGTTGTGGCTACCCTCCGGGTCCACTTCAAAACCCCCAGCGGTCAAATGATCACCCTAGGGTGTTTCATTTGGACAGGCTGAGGGAGGGGGAGTGTGCCCGCGGGTTTGCTGAGGCAATCTGATCGTTTCGCAGTGCTTGGCAGTCTGACAGACCCTGTTCTTCTGTGGGATACCTTTAAGCGTGAAACGCTTGATGCAGCTCAAGATACGATTGGTGTACGCCCGAGAGCAGTACAGAATTCCATCTCGCGGAGACACTGGAAGCCACAGATGCATGTCGTGCGGCTCGTCTGACAGGGGATCGGGAATTGCACGTTCTCATGTGCGCAGAACTCGGTCCCTGTTAAGAAGGGACAAGGAACAGTTTATTAGGAGTCTTGCAGAGGAGGTAGAAGGCCATTTCTTAGTAAATGACCTTCGTCCTGCATACCAAGCCCTGAGAAAGCTGAACTCCAAGCCTCTTCACAGGTGACAGCAGTTCGCTCAGTAAGTGGTCAGATCGTTTCAGATCCTGTTGCGGTGCGGGCGTTGGGCTGAGTATTTTGAGCAGCTGTACCAGGTTGACCCACCAACAGTTAACTTGGATGCGGGTAGTGTCGAGATCCCGCTGCCGGATCCACCTATCAGTGAGGACCCTCCCTCCCTAACTGAAGTTAGGGGGCGATTTCCAAGCTGAAGAGTGGTAAAGCAGCTGGTATCTGCGGCATACCAGCTGAACTGTTAAAGGCTGGTGGTGAACCTATGGCACGGGGGTTACATGCTGTCCTGGCTGCCATCTGGCAGTCCGGTTCCGTTCCTCCTGACCTGTTGAGGGGTGTGGTCATCCCTCTCTGGAAGGGGAAGGGGACCGTTGGGACTGCAGCAATCACCGAGGCATCACACTGCTCAGTATACCAGGCAAGGTTCTCGCCCACATCCTTCTGAGACGTATCAGAGACCATCTACTGAGGCACCAGAGACTGGAGCAATCCGGATTCACTCCTGGTAAGTCCACAATAGACCGTATCCTCCTCGCGCTCGAGTCATTGTAGAGCGCCGCCGTGAGTTCGGGCGTGGGCTGCTTGCAGCCTACATCGACCTCAAGAAGGCGTTCGATACGGTGCATCGGGAGTCACTTTGGGAGATCCTGAGGCTGAGAGGAATACCAACAAGGATTATTGGACTAGCAAGCCTGTATAACTGCTGGTACTGAAAGTGCTGTAAAGTGGTGGGGGGCCTGTCGAGCTTCTTTCCTGTTAGTTCAGGAGTGAGGCAAGGCTGTGTCCTTGCACCAACTCTTTTCAACACTTGCATGGACTGGATACTGGGCAGAGCTACTGTTCAAAGTCATTGTGGGGCAACGCTGGGCAATATCAAGGTTACAGACCTTGACTTTGCTGATGACGTTGCCATTCTATCTGAGTCTTTGGAAACCCTAGTGGCGGCTCTCGATGCATTTAGCAATGAAGCGAAGCCCTTGGGTCTAGAGGTCTCCTGGACCAAGACCAAGGTCCAGGAATTTGGGGACTTGTTAGGAGAACCTGTTCAGTCGGTACGTGCTTGCGGCGAGGACATTGAAGTCACAGAGAGCTTTACATACCTTGGTAGTGTAGTTCATAACTCTGGGCTGTCAGACCATGAAGTCAGCAGACGGATTGGCCTGGCAGCAGGGGTCATGAACTCTCTCAACAAGAGTATTTGGAGATGTCGGTACCTGTGCAGAAGGACCAAGCTACGGGTTTTCAAGGCCCTGATAATGCCAGTTTTGCTATACGGTAGCGAAACCTGGACATTGTCCTGTGCCTTGGAGGCTCGTCTTGAAGCCTTTTGTAATAGGTCCTTGCGCCAGATCATGGGGTACTGTTGGCGGGACCATGTGTCCAACCAACGGTTGCACCGTGAGACTGGCACAAGACCTGTTATCTGCACAATCCGTGATCGCCAACTCAGGCTATACGGCCACCTGGCTCGCTTTCCTCAGGATGATCCTGCCCATCAGGTCGTCTCTGTTCGAGACAACCCTGGGTGGAGGAGGCCTGTGGGACGACCGAGGAAGTCATGGCTTGGGCAGATCGACCAAACCTGCCGTGAAGAACTAGAGATGGCCTGCCTGGCGTCTAGCCATGAGGGATCCTCGTAGGTGGCGTCAGCCCCCTTGATGATGATGGATTAAAGATAAGTAATTCTAACCGGCATCTGAAATGCTAGACCTAACGCTCAGTGAAGGGCCCGTGGGACGAAACGCTGTCACGCATGCGCATAAGGAGGCCGAGCCTGTTCTCGACCAGGTGATAGATTCCGCCTCTACAAACGATGACGTCATGAACTCCAAACGTCTAGCATCAATTTATATATGTATATATGTATGTGTGCGTTTGTGTGTGTATCATCAATCTTGTTTTCCATTACCATCATTATTATTAATGATATTGACTTTAATTGTATCATCATAATCATTTTTAAAAATGTATTATCAATACTATAATTATTTTCACTGTGATCATAATTGCAATACTCAGAGTATGCCAAGTTTTCGTTAATTTCCATATATCAACGACTCTAAAACTCGCTTGATTATTAAATAATTTATTCTAATAACATGAATTACATTCATTCAGTTGAACATATTTCTCTCCTGCAGAAGCAATTATTTCCCGGAGGGCGGCAGGTAACTGCCAGATACCCCGCCGCCTGAACCTCCGAAAGACCCGCCGCCTCCGCCACCAAAGGATCCTCCTCCAAACGATCCTCCTCCAAACGATCCACTGAATCCTCCTCCACCGCCTCCGCCAGAGCCTCCAAAGTTATTGCTTGGCCCACTGTAAGTGTTGCTCACTCCCCCGCCGAAGGATCCTCCTCCAAAGGATCCTCCTCCGCCGCCGAAACCACCGCCCCTTCCGCCAGAAGATCCGCCACCGAAGCGACCGCCGCCTCCACCGAAGGACCCTCCGCCGAAGGATCCTCTGCCACCGCTTCCTCCTCCTCTAAAATTATTCCTTGGTCCGCTGTAACTTGTACTTACTCCTCCAGAGGACCCACCACCGAAGGATCCGCCACCACCTCCGAAAGATCCTCCTCCGAAGGATCCACCTCCCCCAAAGGACCCACCGCCACCTCCTCCTCCACCGAAGTTATTGCTTGGTCCTCCATAACCTAGCTACTCCCCTCCACCCCCGCCCCAGAACCTCCTCCGAACGAACCTCCAAAGGATCCTCCCCGAAGGATCCGCCTCCAAACGATCCTCCAAGAATCCTCCTCCTCCTCCTCCTCCTCCTCCTCCTCCTCCGAAGCTATTGGTGGGTCCTGCGTAGGAGCGGCTGACGCCACCAGAGGATCCTCCGCCACAGCCTCCGCCGAGGCAGCTGCTGCAGGCCGACCCGACGACCAAGCCCAACGCCACCAACACACTCAGTCTCTGAAAACAACAAGACGTTCCTTGAATGACGTGGTCATGAAATGATGATCAGGCATCGAACTTTTAGCAAGAATTGAAATCAACATTCACGCCGCCGAACAGCTCTTACCATCATGAATAGGAGATGATACTGAGGCAGCGTAAAGGAGGCGACCTTATATACACCGTGATTTTTGTTTTAAGGTCAAGCAACACCGTCAATGACACTGGTCATTTTGTTCTGCAACTGAGTCGTATCGTGTGTATGCGAATATACACAAGTACGTACACACGAAGACATTCATACATATACATACATATATAAGGCCTTTTTTTAAGCATCCCGAAAACCCAAATTCTTTGATAAATGTTGGATTTTGTATCATGGCCGTTACAACACTATTATCATCAAATTTTGCACTGACATTCAAAGTTTGGAAAAAATATTTTTTTCTTTAGAAAACCAGTAAAAGACTTGATGTGCAGGTACGATGTTTAACTCTATGCACTATTTCGTTTCGCAAAGCTGTGAAAACTTACAAATATATTTCTCAGATTCAGCCAAAACATTTTTCTTCTTCTTCTTCTTTATTTCCTTTTTTTTTTTTCTTTCTTTTCTTTTTTTAACTTCCTCATTTGTGCTAAAATATTTATTACAATAAACATATCACACATCAACAGACTATTTGTTAACAAAATGTCTATCTTGATAAAGGCATCTTCCACATTAACAGACTTTTTTAAACCACTCAAGGACACGTTTCGGAGAGTGACGTCACAGATTGCTGATTGGCCAGCGGGTATGCTGCTGCCAGGCGCAAAAGGTGCGGGGAAACTGCCCTACACCTCAGTCTGTGCACAACATTGTGGGAATCACATCCAGAACATGTATATAATCGATCGACTTCTCTCTTTCTCCCTTGGCAATATGAATAAATATGACCACATAACATCCCCTGTCTCTCTCTCTCTCTCTCTCTCTCTCTCTCTCTCTCTCTCTCTCTCTCTCTCTCTCTCTCTCTCTCTCTCTCTCTCTCTCTCTCTCTCTCTCTCTCTCTCTCTCTCTCTCTCTCTCTCTCTCTCTCTCTCTCTCTCTCTCTCTCTCTCTCTGTCTCTCTCTCTCTCTGTCTGTCTCCCTCTCCTTTTCCCTTTTCTCTTTTCAATCATCATTTTTTTTCCTTTCTTTTCTTTTCTTTTCTTTTCTTTCTTTTCTTATCTTTACATATTCATTCTCCGCATATTTTCACTTTCCTCATTAGTTGCCTATTACAGTGAACGTAGAGCAACAATATAGTTATCCAAATATATCAAGCAATTACAAGCAAGGCATTTCGACTTGATATAAAGAAAAAAAATTCTCAATTTATATACGGTATATACAACATATAACACTTTTTGTATTCATGAAATTAAGCTTCATATACACAAGTCTGAAATCAACGCAGTGTTTATGACTAGAAATGGTACAGATCTACAAGTTTTCTTTTTGTTTAAGCTTGTGGATTGTATTCTTAAAATAATGAAGAGATATGAAAGTTGTAAGAGTGCAACCAGTACTGATGTCTGTCGCCTGTTCAGTGATGTATTTTCTCTATTAATTAAAGAAAAGAAATTCTAACTGGCATCTGAAGTGCTAGACCTAACGCTCAGTGAAGGGCCCGTGGGACGAAACGCTATCACACATGCGCAGAAGTAAGGGGGCCTATATATATGTCTGTGTGTGTGTGTGTGTGTGTGTGTGTATCATCATTCTTGTTACCATTACCATCATTTTTATTAATGAGGACTTTATTTGTATCATCATAATCATCTTTATAAGTTTTCGTTAATTTCCATATATCAACGACTCTAAAACTCACTTGATTATTAAATAATTTATTCTAATAACATGAATTACATTCATTCAGTTGAAAATATTTCTCTCCTGCAGAAGCAATTATTTCCCGGAGGGCGGCAGGTAACTGCCAGATACCCCGCCGCCTGAACCTCCGAAAGACCCGCCGCCTCCGCCTCCGCCGCCAAAGGATCCTCCTCCAAACGATCCTCCTCCAAACGATCCACTGAATCCTCCTCCACCGCCTCCGCCAGAGCCTCCAAAGTTATTGCTTGGCCCACTGTAAGTGTTGCTCACTCCCCCGCCGAAGGATCCTCCTCCAAAGGATCCTCCTCCGCCGCCGAAACCACCGCCCTTCCGCCAGAAGATCCGCCACCGAAGCGACCGCCGCCTCCACCGAAGGACCCTCCGCCGAAGGATCCTCTGCCACCGCTTCCTCCTCCTCCAAAGTTATTCCTTGGTCCGCTGTAACTTGTACTTACTCCTCCAGAGGACCCACCACCGAAGGATCCGCCACCACCTCCGAAAGATCCTCCTCCGAAGGATCCACCTCCCCCAAAGGACCCACCGCCACCTCCTCCTCCACCGAAGTTATTGCTTGGTCCTCCATAACTGGTACTTATTCCTCCTCCACCGCCGCCTCCAGAACCTCCTCCGAACGAACCACCTCCAAAGGATCCTCCCCCGAAGGATCCGCCTCCAAACGATCCTCCCCCGAACGATCCTCCTCCTCCTCCTCCTCCGAAGCTATTGGTGGGTCCTGCGTAGGAGCGGCTGACGCCACCAGAGGATCCTCCGCCACAGCCTCCGCCGAGGCAGCTGCTGCAGGCCGACCCGACGACCAAGCCCAACGCCACCAACACACTCAGTCTCTGAAAACAACAAGACGTTCCTTGAATGACGTGGTCATGAAATGATGATCAGGCTTAAAATTTTTAGCAAGAATTGAAATCAACATTCACGCCGCCGAAGAGCTCTTACCATCATGAATAGGAGATGATACTGAGGCAGCGTAAAGGAGGCGACCTTATATACACCGTGATTTTTGTCTTAAGGTCAAGCACCGCCTTAGATGACACTGGTCATTTCGTTCTGCAACTGAGTCATATCGTGTGTATGCGAATATTCACAAGCACGTACACACGAAGACATTCATACATATACATACATATATATAAGGCCTTTTTTGTAGCATCCCGAAAACCCAAATTCTTTGATAAATACTGGATTTTGTATCATGGTCGTTACAACACTATTATCATATTCGTTCCAAATTTTGTCGAAGCTTTGACTAAAGTGGAAAATTACTTATCTACTCTGCAAATATGATGGTTTATACACTTTATTTTGTTTCGTAAAGCTGTGAAAACTTACAAATGTATTTCTCAGATTCAGTCAAAACTTTTCTTTTTTTTTTCTCTTTCTTTTCTTTTTTTTTTTTTTCCCCTTACTCATTTGTGTTAAAATATTTATTACAATAAACATATCACACATCAACAGACTATTTATTAACAAAATATCTATCTTGATAAAGGCATCTTCCACATTAACAGACTTTTTGAAACCACTCAAGGACACGTTTCACACTTTACGAAATATTTTAGCGCTTCATCTTCTTTTCCCCAAGCATGGGACGTCAGGAAATTGAGAGAGTGACGTCACAGATCGCTGATTGGCCAGCGGGTATGCTGCTGCCAGGCGCAAAAGGTGCGGTGAAACTGCCCTACACCTCAGTCTGTGCACAACATTGTGGGAATCACATCCAGAACATGTATATAATCGATCGACTTCTCTCTTTCTCCCTTGGCAATATGAATAAATATGACCACATAACATCCCCTGTCTCCTCCTCTCTCTCTCTCTCTCTCTCTCTCTCTCTCTCTCTCTCTCTCTCTCTCTCTCTCTCTCTCTCTCTCTCTCTCTCTCTCTCTCTCTGTCTGTCTTTCCCTCTCCTTTTCCCTTTTCTCTTTTCAATCATCATTTTTTCCTTTTTTTTCTTTTCTTTTCTTTTCTTTCTTTTCTTATCTTTACATATTCATTCTCCGCATATTTTCACTTTCCTCATTAGTTGCCTGTTACAGTGAACGTAGAGCAACAACAATATAGTTATCCAAATATATCAAGCAATTACATGCAAGGCATTTCGACTCTTGATATAAAGAAAAAAATGTCTCAATTTATATACGGTATATACAACATATAACACTTTTTCATGAAATTAAGCTTTATATACACAAGTCTGAAATCAACGCAGTGTTTATGACTAGAAATGGTACAGATCTACAAGTTTTCTTTTTGTTTAAGCTTGTGGATTGTATTCTTAAAATTATGAAGAGATATGAAAGTTGTAAGAGTGCAACCAGTACTGATGTCTGTCGCCTGTTCAGTGATGTATTTCCTCTATTAATTAAAGAAAAGAAATTCTAACTGGCATCTGAAGTGCTAGACCTAACGCTCAGTGAAGGGCCCGTGGGACGAAACGCTATCACACATGCGCAGAAGTAAGGGGGCCGATATATATATGTGCGTGTGTGTGTGTGTGTGTGTGTCTGTGTGTGTATCATAATTCTTGTTACCATTACCATCATTTTTATTAATGAGGACTTTATTTGTATCATCATAATCATCTTTATAAGTTTTCGTTAATTTCCATATATCAACGACTCTAAAACTCGCTTGATTATTAAATAATTTATTCTAATAACATGAATTACATTCATTCAGTTGAACATATTTCTCTCCTGCAGAAGCAATTATTTCCCGGAGGGCGGCAGGTAACTGCCAGATACCCCCCGCCTGAACCTCCGAAAGACCCGCGCCTCCGCCGCCAAAGGATCCTCCCCTCCTCCAAACGATCCTCCTCCTCCAAACGATCCACTGAATCCTCCTCCACCGCCTCCGCCAGAGCCTCCAAAGTTATTGCTTGGCC